TCTTCCGATGCTTTTGACTGTTTCTAGCACTTTCCCTATTTTTGTTTTCATTGTATGTTTTTTCCTTTTAGTCTTACTTGAATGTGACGCACACATTCAAACGCACAGGCTCTCATTTTTATGATCGTGTACTCCTGGCTAGTAAAACACCTTTTCCCACACATTTCAAAATTTTGATAAGTCTTGCATTTGAACTTGCTTCGCTTGAAGTCTGTTGTTGTTTCATAAAGATGTTTGACTCTTTGTTACATCCAGCTTAAACAAAGGCAGGTGCTTTCACTAATTGGCATCAGTGATGTCTTGTCCAATACACAGCATTTTCTTCAAATAATTTAACCAGTTATTAAACCAGCAGAGAAAAATCTCAAATCTGGTATAGCATGATATTATCCTTCTAGGAATATGATTCCCACATTAGATTTTAATAGAAGATGAGAAGAAAAATAATGCTTTAGGAATGTATATTATTCCTGATCTGATTCCTGTCAGATTGGCCCATTTCAGAAATTGGCATATTTCATTGATAAAGGATTACATGTGATACCTCTCTTCCCTGCCAACATTTCATAGGATCATAGGATAATTCAGGTTGGAAGACACCTCAGGAGGGCTCTAGTCCTACCTACTGCTCAAAGCAGGGTCAGCTCTAAGGTCAGACTAGATTGCTCAGGGCTTTATGCATTTGAGTCTTGAAAACATCCGGGGGTGAAGACTGCACAACCTCTCTGGACAACTTGTTCCACTGCATGACTGTCCTCAGGGGAAACAGCTTATTCTTATATCCAGTCTGAACTTCTCTGTTTCAATTTATGTCCATTGCCTCTTGTCCTCCCACCGTGCACCACTGTGAAGAGCCTGGCTCCATCTTCAAAATAAACTCCTTGTAGGTGTTGGAAAGCTGCTATTCGGTCCCCTGGAAGCCTTCTCTTCTCCAGGCTGAATAAGCCCAGCTCCCTCAGCCTCTCCTTATAGGGCAAATGCTCCAGCCCTAACTGTCCTGGTGGTCTCCACTGAACTGACTCTAATTTATGACACCTTATGCTTTTTAATACCTCTCTTGTATTAGGGGGGGAGTGAGCAAAGCTGGATGTAGTATTCTGGATGTGGTCTATTCATTTGGACTGAAGCTAAGCATAACTTTTGCAGATTTGATGAAGTCAAATGCTTCTGAACTCAAATATTCCAACTTCAGGTAAAGACAGGTGAGAGTGGCTGAAGTTGAAGATCCTCCAGTGTCAGAACGTTGAAGTTTCTGAGAACGTGCCTGTGTGTGTTCCTCTTTGTTTACAGACTGTGAAGTAGTGCAGTTGGCATACAGCATGTTTGTCATTTTACTAATTGTAAATTACTATAGAGAACGCCACTTCAGTTCCATCTTGATGTACATTCATCAGCAGACTCGGGAATAGCAGCTCTTGAAAAGAGGAAGGTTCCAGTATTAAAAATTTAGGAAGATGACAAGGAGGCAGCAAGTGAACTTGCCTTAAGAAAAAGAGATCAGGAAGAGTTGGAACAGGTTGCCCAGAGAGTTTGTGGAGTCTCCTTTCCTGGAGGTATTCAAAACCTGCCTGAATGCGATTGTGTGCAATGTGCTCTAATGACCCTGCCTGAGCAGGGAGTTTGGACTGGATGATCTCCAGAGGTCCCTTCCAACCTCAACCATTCTGTGATTCTGTGAAGAGGTCCCTGAAGAGACCAAGGGGACTTTCTCAGCAGAAATGTGTTTTCATTTAAGGATTTCAAGGTGTTTTGTCCAACTGATATAGAATGGAACACAAAGTATACCCCTGTATACGCAAAAACCGACTTGCTAGTACCTGGTTTCTAGTTAATTACTAATGTCTTGGTCAGAGTCAGATAATTAGTTAACGGAAGCTGCACATACAAGAATTCAGATTGCTTGTCCCGTACCTCTAACTTAGACAGGAGTCTAACTGTATGACAGTTGTGAAAGATATAGTAAAGGTAAGTCATCTACTCCAGGCCACCATCACTTGCCACACTTGCAGCAGCTTAGCAGCTGTTAGTAGCTGAATGTTGTGTCTATTTTACTGGAAAGGGGTAGAAATACCCACTTTAAAATTGTTTACAGTCAAATGAATTTTTGTTTACCACATAAGAAAAAGGCTGGAATTGATTTATGTTTGTTTTTAAAACTTAAGGAAGAGTGCAATTTGAGGCATTAACAATCAAAACTATTGGCAGTTTTCAACCTTGGTGGCACCCTCTAGTGGCCAAGAGCGCAGTGTATGAATCTGAGGGCAAGTCTTAACCTTACAGAGAAGCAGAAAAAAAAAAGCTTTGCAGGCAAGCTGTGAATCACATCCATTTTCTAAAGAACCTTTATTTTTTGGTGGTGAGGCGGATTTACCAAGCCACTTTGTGTGTGTGTGTGTGTGTGTGTGTGTGTGTGTGTTTTTTTTTACACTCTGGTATTGTGTTATTTTTCCAGGAGTAAGGCTTATCTGTTGCTGCTGTCACAGAACGTATATAGGTGCTGTATTTAGGTGCTCTTAGTGTTACTCATTTCAAGTATTCACCATTGAATTTGACAGTCATTCTCAGTGTATTTCCTCTTGCAGAATGCTCCTTTTGAACCAGAGCTTTTTGAGAACATCCTCATCTGTGAAACGCCTAACAACGATCTCAATAAATTCAAAGGGTATATGTAAGTATGTGCTATCAATAAATGCGTTTTCTGTCTGAGCTTTAGTATTTCACTTGGGGGAGCTGGATGGAAGCAATATATTTTACAGGACTGATGGATGTCACTACTGTCAAGCTGTAAGCTTGAATCTATGTTTTAAGCCAAGGCATGACCAAGACTTAACTTTGCATTTGCAATTGTTTCATATACGTTGTTCTCACAATACTTCATCTCTTTCCAGAATTCAAACATAAATCCATTTACATTTGAGCTGTGGGTTAGGCTACGCTAGATTTTAAATCTAAATCCTTCCTAATACTTAAAGGTGTTCAGTTGCATGGCTCTGGTTTCTTCATATTTGTGGCCACAGGGAGAAGATATGCAGGATCTAGCTAACAAACCTGACTTTCTTCTTACAGCTGGGAAAAGCAAGCAAGCAAGGAAGAAAAATCTGACTTGATCAATGGATTAAACTAATATGAAAAAATGGACTTTTTCAGTGTAAACCTATGAATGTGAGGAAAAAGCTGCATCGTCTATTCCCTATGTTCTTTCTTTCATTAAATAATTATGGGACATGCGCAATGGATACATCTATACTAGCGAATTCAGCAGATTTAAGCCCATTTCCTGGCCATAGAGTCAACTTGTATGGCAGAGCTCGTGTCCTAAAATTCTGTTTTCCTTGGCTGCTTCTGAGGGGCCTCCTCAGAATGGTCTGTGCCCTTGGTCCGTGCTGGTTCCTGCACCGTGCCAGGGAATTGTCTGGAACACTAGCTACTGTAGACCAAAAACATGCCACAGATTATGCCAACAACTCGACATGAACGTTCATGTGCTAGCATCCGCGTCCAAGTCCTGGCTCTGTTTAGTTTACTAGTAGCTAAGCTAGTAGTTACTGTCTCTCGGTGGGGATGCAGTAAGTGTGTTGCACCAGGAATAGCTGCAAATGGCCAGATCCTCTAACATGAGGAAACCAGCCGGTTGTGTTCTCTTAGTTCTGACCATTTCTAATCTCATCTTGAGAATTTACGCCCTGCAAGCCTGATGCCTTTAATAGCAATGCCGTTTCCCTCTCTAATGTGACACTTTAAAAGGGAAAAACAGGTCAAGTTCATATTGACCACTAGCTGCTGGTTACTGTTTTTGAGGGTATAATCGAAATTGAAGCAATCCTTCCAATTAGCCTGCTACAATATGAAACAAAAACATGAGAAAGTGGAAATGTAGGCTATATGTCACAAGCAAACTCCTAAAAATACACATCCTTAGGATTCAGAATTGGCTTCAAAATCATCAAATCTCTGCTAAAACTCTGTAACAGAAATATCTTCTGGATATACCTACTATCTCACCTGCTTGATGGAATACAGAATTAATTGTCTTTTCTTCCTGATTCAGTGATAGATGAAAGAAATTTCCAGTGAAAAATTTTCACCAACAGTTAGCAGAGGTTTTTGCCTTTCGTTTGCTGATGTTTGAGCCATTTTGTAAACCCAAATCACATGAAGCAGTATTCAAACAAAAAGTGAAATCTCAACAAAGAAAGGTGTGACCAGCTTACACGGACTACTTCAAGAGTTACATACCCCTACAGTGCCTTCAGGTTACATTTTTCTCCAAGAATCCTTAATAAATCACTAAGCTTCTAACGCCTTGCTATAAGACCGTAGCAGTGCTGGAGAACTCTCTGCTAAAATGACAACAAAGAACTTAGTCACATCCATCAACACACCTGACCACAGTAACTTCTGACCAAGGGGATGCAGAAAAGCTTCTACTAAATGGTTTCACCAAGGCTGAATCTAGACTTCTGCAAAAAGAGGTTTCTAGGATTGTTTTTACAATTTATTAACAAAGACACTTTCATGAATATTTATTGACTAGTGCAACCCCGCTTGTAGGATACTTAAATCTCATTCACCAAAACCTGGGCTTCCTGTACACAAAACACGTATTGTTAACCCACCTGATGTCCAAAGTGAACATAACTGAGAATCTGTAATTAGTAGCTGCTTTGAAAACCATACACCTCCATCCCAACACATTGCAATGACCTGCTCCTGGTTTAACACTGCAAGTCAGAGCAGCCTTGCAACATTTCTCTCTAGAGTTTTTGAGCAAAGTCATTATTCTATCAGCTGTAGGTATTTGGAACCTAAACCTTTTCATTCCTCTAGTTTGATGTCATGTATTAGTATGCAGCTGCACATGGACATAGGACTGTACATAGGCCTGAGATAGCAGCTAATCATGCCTCACATTTGAATTACACTGCAGTTCACTGGTAAATGTGAGGTGGAATAGCCAACAGAAAGTAGCCAAAGATATATGTTCTAGAAGAAGTTTTGGTTTATGCTAATATTTGAAGTAACAGACCTAGATGCATTGACTGAAGTGAAAAATCTCAGTAGGAGCCTATCAGAGTGTATAAGAAAGACAGGGAGCAAAAATAGCTGTATGCTTTCATTTTCAGGGGCAAGTAACAAATTGCCTGCCTGACAGAGTGTTGATTGTATGAGTTCCATTGACTTTTCATTAGTCCGTTCTGCTAGCAGAAGGATTTGGTGTGTGAGTGGAGATCTTCAGCTGGAATAACAAGTTTTCAATGCAGCGTGAGAGTGAAGAAACCCTCAGTCTACAAATTCATGAAGATTTGGGCCCCTTTGGTGGCCAGCAGAGAGGCAGAGGCTTGCACAGAAGGCTAGTATATTAATCTGAACCTCTAACCGCTGGTGAACTCTGCTGAGTTTTCTAGAAGAATTTCGTCTTACTTAAGTCATAGAATGTATATTGGCTTCTTTTTTTAGATACTAAATCTGCCAGATAAGGTACCAAGTGAAAGCCAAAATATCTTCATATTGATATCCCAATACACATAACATGAAAATGGGCTTTAAAAAAGATACCTAGACTTCTGCATGTCTTCTGAGTGGAGTCTTTATTGAAGATAAGTAGCACAAAGTACAATCAAAAAAAGGCCCTCAGTTCCTTGATTTCAACTTGAGCGAGCACGCACACATACAGAGTTTTGTTTAATACTATGTGAGAATAGAAAAGAACATAGCTTTATTTTACTTTCTTTCTTCTAGGGAACAGCCAAATCTTGAACGGATTGGTTTTAGCACTGAAAGCCTTTTGCTTCGTGGATGTACAATTAGAAACACCGAGGTTGCAATAGGAATTGTTGTATATGCAGGTAAGGTGTACTCTCCATCTAGCTAAGCACAGAATTTCTCTTTAAATATCTTTAAGTAAATATGTGCACTCTAACATTGCACCATAGTTTGCTAGTTTGTTTTAAGAACTGGTAGTGAACGGGAAAAATTAATAATTTGATAAAGTCGGGGTATTAGTCATCTATCCTCCAAAGCCAAAGAGTTGTTCTCTGGCAAGTGACAGTATCCTTATGTATGTTAAATGTCTTACTACACTTGGGCAAAAACATCCAGACATATCAGAAATTGATAAGGTGAGTTTGTTCTCTCTCTCAGGTCCAAAATTATGATTATAATGCTGATTTCACCTGGCATAAAATCTGTCCTGCTGCCATAAGGGGGAGTTCTGTCAGTCTTAGGATAGAAACTAATCCAGCTGAACCTCCAGCCAGCAAAAAAATGGCTCGTTTTTATCACAAAGCCAGAGTGCTAGCACAAGGGCAAGGAGGGCAGTGAGAATAAGCAGCTGGAGATGACAGAAGAGGCAAGACTGAATCTTTCAGCAGCAGCAGCAGCTCAGGTTTGTGCTGATATAGCGTGTCCGTGAAACTATGAATTTCATGCAGCGGAAAGATGAATCGAATAAGATAGCGTCAGTGCCTAAATCAAGCGCAGGGATGGCAGCTTCCACTCAGCTTTCTCAGGACGTTTGAGCTTCAGAGTGTTACCAGTGCTTTTAGTCTGTGAGCAGTTTAGCGTTGACTTTGTCAAATGTACCCTATTCTTGCTCCAGAAAAGTTGTATCAGCTACCCTCTTTTTCCCTCTTTATTTGTAGTTTTAATAAAATTCAATTTAAACAGAAAAAAAAAAAATCCAATTCTTAGTTAGTTTTGATCTCTCTGGTAGAGTCATGTCACCTATTACAGAGCTCAGGTTCCAACCAGCAGCTTGGGGGCTCAAGGCTGGACCACTTAAGAGAAAATAGAAATCAAGGTGCTTGCAGGAGTCGTTCGCCTTGCATTACCCTAATAATCCATAGTCTCCAGACTATGGAGACTTATTTTACCTGACAGCCTGCAAAATGGCTATTCTATTTTACTATCGACTCACTACTGTGGAAGCGGACCCTAAATGGCTACAGCTCCCATAGGTTTCCAGCATGGCGTTTATTCATGGGCCTTTCATTGCCTGCTTGTTTGAGCACCGCATGTCCTGATGGTGCCTACCAGACAGCACTGACTGTTTCTGTGGACGGGAGCTAGAGGTATTCCAAACCCATCACTCTGTCTTTTCAAGTAGCTACTATCTAAAAATCTCTATGGGAACCATTCTTTATGGAATTGGAGTAGTTTGTCTTCCCTCCTCTTGTTAGGATTCCAGTTTTAATTCTCATTAGTCAAGTCAGGCTCCTCTGACCACCAGCACAGATCGTAATGTGGATCACTGCTAATGTTGCTTAAACTGCTAGCTGTGAAGGCCACAGTTTTAGAGTATTTCGCCAACTGTGGTGTCTGTGATCTGAGTATGCCTTCATTATGATTTTTCAACTGACATCTAATTGTTAACATCGGCATAAAAGTTCGTTCTTTTCTTCTTCTAAAATTAGACTCACCTGAGCCAGTACTAACTTAATTTCTAGGGTTCTTTGACATTGATTATACTCTGGCTTTTAATCATGATATGTGACCTTTTCTGAACAACCGAGATCAGTCACGTTATAAAATGACACATTCTCCATTTTTATAACTCTATTACTCCTCAAACTTACTTTCTAATGGAAGCCTTTGTGAAGCACAGAGACTTCACTTAATGTGATTGTTTAGCCTGTGCAGTTCGCATCCAACTCAAATATGATTTTACTTTTTTACGGCTACCCAAATGGTTCCACACAAAGTGGTACTGCTAATGCACAAAAACCGTGTTACGGAGCAACAGCCAACATACTTTTCCCATACTGATGGGGATGGTTACAAGAAATACATGGCTTTCAGATAGTAAAATGAGAAAGAGAGAAGAAAAATGAGGTTTCAGTGGGTGTATCAGCATCCAGAAACGGAGAGATAAGATACCACTGGGGTAGTGAATGAGGTGCTGTGTTACACAGTATATGAAGCTGTGAAGATCCAAGGGAAAAGGTTAGTTTATTCCTCTTATTTCTGATATTCCACCAATTGCAAGGTGATATATGTATTAGAGCTGTGTGGAAAACTCCTTTTCTTGGTGGTCAGCTGAAGTGGAAAAGAATGATAGAGCTCAAATTTGGAAAGAAACCCCTTCCCGTTCTCTTGCTGAAATAAATCCATCAACGTTTCCTTGTGGGGGGAGGGGAGGGAGTATTTTTGTTTTGTTTTCAACATAAAATGGTACGTTCAGCCTGAAATAAAAGTAAAGTGTGGAACAACATTCCCACAGCTGCTGGAGGAACAGAAGAGCAGGCAGCAGTACTCTCCTCTCCTTCACAGCTCAGTGGTTAGAGCATTTGTTCACCGTAGGGAAGACACAGTTTGTGTTCTCAGCTCTGCCAGTATGGAAGTGAAGCACGCATCTCCTGCTTCGCAGGTCGTACCCTGAATACCTGGCTATGTGGAACAACTGTGAACGTACATGAGCTGGAAAGGGGCATTAGTGGTATAAGCTGGTCCCACTGACAAAGCTCCAGGTTGTGCAAATAATTACATATTCATTGGAACAGGAAGCCAAGAGTCCCTGCTCTTGAGTGAACGTCCTGAACATAAGGCTGGAGAGTAATTTTCTCTCCTGCTCTCTGCCTCAATTAATAACCTTTGATGTAAAATTGGAGTGAATCCAGTAAGAGTGATTGAATTAGACCTACCTTAAAGTCTGGTGATAGAAGACTTTAGTTCAAATCGCTTCCCTAGAGAAAGCCAAAAGATAGATTGGAAAACAGTCCCTCTGATACACATCATGCACATATAAACAGAAAATAAGTACAACTCTGCAGAGTCTATTTTCAGAAAAGTGACTGTAAGAATAAACATAAATGATACCATTTAATATAGCAGCAGATGGTATTCAGATATTACAGTTGTGGGGACACAGTTTTGATAATATTAATAGACTAGAAAGAGCAATTTCTTCTTGTTGGCTTCTTACAGGGCTCCTCTTTTTCCATTTGAAATATACCAGCTCAATTCTAATTCAATAAGTTTTATGTATTCGGGTTATTTTATTTCTTGTCCTACTGTTTTGTTAGTACTTTACATCCACATAGTGAAAAGCTAAATGATATTAGTATCTTTCACTGCCAGATCTGACATGTTGGGCTTTATTTAAGTTGATACATAAAACGTGTCTAGCAGCTTCTAACTAGTCGACGAAAAATGTTCAAATGCAAGTTTCAGGAATCAGTGCAGAACCTAATCAATTTCCTTACAAAATGTATAAATATAATATTGTTATTCTTCCTTTTCATCTCAAAGAGATTTAGCTTTTATGTAGAAGCACGTAAGTGCTTATGATTCCCAAGAGATTTGAATGTTGATACAAGTCTTGCAATCCTGCTGGACCTGCTATCTTTGGGGCAGTAAAACGCAGATGACAGCTGAAATCTGTAATGTGATTGGAGGTCTTTTGTAACCCTCTGAGCTTATTCTCAGACTTTATTTCCTTCTAATGTGGAAAGTGAGACCAACATGATGTGTAATTTCACCAAAAGTGCATATTAAACTTTTTGGAATGTCTGTGGCGATTTGTACATTAATGTATGCGTTTTATTTATACATATGCACATATATACTTTCACATACTGGTATTCAGTCAAACTGGATCAAAGCAGAAAGCAGAATCAAATTAACATTAGTCACGTGCATCCTGCTTCTATTTTGAGAGAGAAATATTTTAAAGAAAAAACCTAGAAAATACTATACAAGCATAAGTATGTCCGTTTGTGTTTTGAAGGTCATGAAACTAAGGCCATGCTAAATAACAATGGTCCTCGTTACAAACGCAGCAAAATAGAACGACGGATGAATATGGATATTTTCTTCTGTGTGGGACTTCTGCTTGCAATGTGTCTTGTTGGAGCAGTAGGTACGAAGCACGGACAAAAACCCTCTTCTGTTTTGGTGCTGTTTCTGAATGGTGATTGAAACTGGTCTTCTAATAGGCATGAATATGATCATATCTAGAGCCAGCTGCCCCATGCTCTTGGGGTCTTTCTAAATAGACAAGTTAAAATGGCAAATCAGAGCAATCCAGACAGAAGGACAGTCAGCTATGGCTATGAATATTTCAGATAAGAGCCATCTCAGGTATGGTAAAATAGGCGTAGAGCAAGAGACAGTAAATAGGTTAGTGCATTATAAGAAGTGGTACTTATCAACTGAGACGTGCTGCATGAGTGGATGTTCGCTCCTAGCGTATAATGATGAACCTTCATTTCAGTAACGTCTTCCTCTAATGAGTTCAGGGGTGATGGGCTGATGTTAGCCAGAGGTACCCAATCTGTACTCTATGAGATGTATAGAAGTATGGCTGTATACGGATAATTCGTCCAGTTCGGAGTCTTGCCACAGCTACCTTCTTTCTCAGAGGCCTGTTTACAGCAGGCGGAGAGATAGGTTAGTTGTTTAGGTAGGAGCAGACTGCAGTTTTCTGGGAAGGTCTTGCAGGGCCTCCCTTGTCATACGAGTATACTTGAATCTGGTAACTGGGTGGGCTGGGACTATCTGACTGTATCTTACTTGATTGCTAATCTCAAATTGTCACCTTCATTACATCTAAGCACACGCATGCTTTCTAGCGCTAATTAGCATCTGTCCTGGGCACATCAGGATTAGTAGGTCCTCCGAACTCTGAGGAAAGGGATAAACTTTAATCCCGGTGAGTTTTGAATGGATTACTATAAGGAGATATCAGAGGACCCCATGAGTGTTTTCTGTTCAAAGCTCCTTTTTTTCTCTTTAGTCAATCTAATCTCAGCCATAATTTGCTTAGTGCTACAGCTCTGGTTTACTTTCGTATATACAAAGTCTAATTGTGTGGCCCTGCCAAGTTTTTCTGAACCTGCCCTGTCGGCCTGTGAAGTGACACCCACACACACAAGTCATCGGTGTAATACTGGTAGAAGTAAAAGTGATCCTAAAAGGTGAACAATAGAATCAACTTGATCACTTTTTCAGTTTTGCTGCCTCATGTTGCAGTCGGCCTTTCTGGCACAGAAACGGGATTTCAGTTTGACAACTGAGCTGTGTGCTAGGGAGAGAAAGAGACTTTATTTTCATTGTTCATTGGCTGCTGTCATGTAGATTTAGAGACTTGTCCTTCTCATACTGATGTGCAAGGGCCCTTGAGTAATAAAGCCCTGTAATTTAAGGTTTAAAGTAGTCCCAGATGAAAAAAAATCATCATTTAAAACCAAATTTATCCGCACAGGATGTTCATATCTTAAGTGAAATATTTAAAATAGTAACAAGTCCCATTACCTTTCATCCATTCAAAATGCCCCATAGCTCTAATACGTGTACTTTGTAAACTTGTGTGAATGTAAGATTCTAGAAAGAAATATTACCTGTGAATCAATTATCAGTATTTTTCTTGTATATAGTGAAAAAGCGGGTTATGAAGTAAGTTGTGGAGAGAAGTTGTCCTTATTCAGACGTGACAGAGGTCTCTGGCAACCAGAACGTATTCCTGAAATAATTTGAATTCCTTTGGCAGCGTTTAAGTGGGCAGATGCTGCAAAACAACTGCTTTTTTAGTTGGTACTAATAGAAGTTTTATCAGGCCTGGGTATGCAAAGTGGACTAATAGAGTTTTTTGGCAGGTAAAAGGCATCTGGAACAGTAATGCAATGTGGGGAAACTGAATCATTTGTCCTAGTTTTCTGCGAAGTTTCTGGAGCTGTAAATTTAATAACATCCTTGAGCAAAGTTTATTTCAGTAAGGACAGTATGCAGGATGGTAAAGTAATTGTAATGGGATGTTGGTAAGTCCTGAACAAGACGCTTTGCTGTAGTACTGCAATGAAACATGCAGATATTTAAGATACGGAGGAAGCAACATCAGCTTGGAGTATAACTTAATTGAAAGGAAATAGAGGGAATGTAAAAAGAGTTACCAAGACTAATTATAGGGAGTATGTCAACTGTAACAGAGAAGGGAGGAAATCAAGGATGGTCAGGAAGATTAGAAGGATTTAAGTTTGGCTATATAAAAGCTAAAAGCCTTCTCTCTCTTAGAAAGAGGAATTTTAGCCCTTAGCACTGAGGTTTCTTAAAGCTAGGTGGGTAGAGATGGAGCCCTCCAGAGTTGGGGCACAGAGTGAAAAGCAGAAAGTCCTGTGAGGACAGCTGCTGAAGGAGAGGTGGATAAGAGGATTAGTAAAAAAAACATAACTACTCATTCATTAATAGTGCATCTCTCATGTACATGTGCTACAGAGTTCTGCATATATTTCACATTCCCCAGTAGATTTTACAGCATTGCTTGGGGGCTGCTGCTTTGGAAATCTTCTTTTCTTTTAATTAGCATAGCGGTCCATATTTGCAAATTTCAGAATCTTTGTCCAGTCACCTTCCTGTTCAGTTTATTTCAATATTGTGTGTCATTCATACAGGCCATGGCATTTGGAGTGGAAACTTCTCAGAGCATCCACCTTATGATGTCCCAGATGTGAATGGCAATTATCTGTCTCCAGTTGTTGCTGGTTGCTACATGTTCTTGACTATGATAATCCTGCTGCAGGTAAAAGATCAACAAAAAATTCTCTGTTATCTTCAAAGAAGAAGTTATTTAAAATTACATATGATTGCTAATAAGCAATTAATATCAACTAATAGCTATTTGATACCTTCTTAATCCTGCTTGAAGATATTGCTAGGAGAGTTTCAAAACATCCAAGCGTGAAGTAGAGTGTCTTTTCTATTTTTCAGCTGCAGATTTTTCTTTGTTACTGTTGAACACCACTAGGATATAGATAGGAAGGATATGTATTATATTATTAAATAGCTCCAGAATTTCTAACATACACACTAAGGAGGATGTTTACATCCAAATGTCAGCTTTTTTTTTTCCTACCTGCATCCCTCGTTCCAAAAATAAGACTGTCACTTAGTGTCTCAGGAAAGCACTGAAACAAAAATTATTGTCATTTTTGCTAATGGGGAGTAATAACTAGGTATGGTTGTGCTGATTTGAGAAAGAAGCTAAATTAGGAGGAGGCTGTAGGAAGTTCTGCATGCACAGGAATTGCTGGTGTAAGTTTTTTACTTTAAGAGTTACAGTCTGTGCTAGTCCATCCTTTTCAGGAGAAGAGCGCTGTACACCTCTGTTTAGAAAATATGCTTTGTAAGAGCATATTCTGAAAGATCCAAGATCTTTGTGCTTGGAACTCCAGGCGTCTTGTCATATATTTGTCATTTATTGACCCTGTTTATCCATTGCTGTTGCACGCTGAACTTTTTTAATTTCTAAACTGTGCTTATTCAGTCCTACAGTATGTCTCTGGGAAGAACTGTTTGTTTATCTGCTTTTTCTGAACAGTGTTAGTACATCTGTGATAGGACTTTGCTGAGAGAAAGCAGTAAGATTTGTCTTACCCCTCAATGAGATTTTAATCTCTTTCAGGTTTTAATCCCCATTTCTCTCTATGTGTCCATTGAATTAGTCAAGTTGGGCCAAGTCTTTTTAATTCACAATGATATTGACCTATATGATGAAGAAGCAGATTTGCCCATACAGTGTCGAGCCTTAAATATCACTGAAGATCTCGGACAAATCCAGTATATCTTCTCAGACAAAACTGGGACACTCACAGAGAACAAAATGGTATTCCGACGCTGTACTGTTGACGGAAATGAGTTTTCACATCAGGAAAATGGTGAGATGCACATTCTTATGCTTGCTTTTCTCTCTGAACAATGAAATGTTATTAATTTAAATAGTAATATTTAGAACTACTGAGCCTTCTTCTGGTTGACTGAAGAGCTTTGATGTCTCCATCTTGTGAGGGACTCCTGTTATGCAGATCCACCAAAGTGAAAGAGTTTTCAATGATTCTGAAACCAGGTGTGAAGATCTTCCTGTTCCCACTGCCGACGTCTCAGGCCTTGTGCTGCACTGAATGCCCATTTGAGACTGCAAAGGGAACATTTTCTCTTTCATTTACAGACTCACAAACTGAGATTGGTTCGTAATTAAACTCAGTGAGTCCAAAAGTAATTACCATAGAGTCTTCTGCGTGATAAGAAAGATTACAATTACACGTTTTCTAGAGGAGACCCCAGCTGCAGTCTATATCTGATGTGCCTCGGTGTTCAGGGCTCATTGAATCTGTGGTTTTGACTCAGGCCCGTTCTAGATTATTACTTTCTCTACATAGTGCTAAGGATTTTCTTAAGCTGGCAAGCAGCTGCCAGATAGATGTTTGTGCTCTGTGACTGAAAACATTAACAACGTTGTGAATTACCATATTTCACTCTCCTATTCCAGTCGACTGCAAAGTGCAGCTAAAGAGACTGAGCATTATGAGAAGTCTATAAAAGTGATTGATTGCTTTGAAAACTTATTTTTATTTTCTTGCAATCATAAACATTTCAGAGTGGGAGTTGTCAGAAACTGAAGTCAATATTGAAATTAGTCTGGTGTTGTTTTTTGAGTTGTTTTCACTTTGGGTTAATTAGTTTCTTTTTTTTTTTTAATTAACCAAGGAATTCCTCATGAGCAATGCGAAAAACAAAATAATAGATAAGGTTTCATTTTCTCTTTTTACAGCCAGACGTCTGGAAACTCACAAGGAGTTGGATTTAGATGATGAGGACTTCGCAAAACTTCAGCACTTCACTCTTCCTTCCATGAATATTGAGCAACCAGCCACTTATAAACAGAGGACCGTAAGACCTTTAAGGAGGTGCCAGAGTGCTAGGGCTCGTTTTCAAGGCCATGCAAGGCAGAAGTCACTCGGTCGTCGTGACAGCAACCAGTCTCAAGTGGCATTCAGCAGTACCATTGTGAGTATGAGCAGGCAGAGCCGATACATTTTAAGGATTTCTCCTGTGTATTGCGTTGTGTGTTGGGAAGCCAGCAGGCATGCAGGAGAGCACAAGCCATGAAGAAGGCCTAAGGGGGAAGTAGCTGACTTGGAGAGAGGAAATTCTAGCCTTGATGGAGCTGAGAGAGGGATGTGGGATACAGCACTGGGGTTCTCACATAGAGCGCATGGGCTGCAGCTAGCAACAGGGTTGGTGAGGGTTTGGGAATCAGGGTCCTTGTATCAAAGGCCACAGGACAAGCGTGGGGCACACAGTTGAGTTTTCATGGCAGCTGCTTAGTAGGAGGAGGATGCTGGAATATGAGGTTCAAGGATCAAGGATTCACAATGCTTGGCACAAAGGGGAATGAGGTTACTGTAATGCTCTGGTGCACCAAAACTGCCTGGCAAAGGAGTGGGATGAGGTGGTGATTCTGGTCTGGGAGCAAGAAAGAGGAGCTGGGGAGGGGAGCAGGATGTGAGACCGGGGCCTGGCTCTGCAGAAGTGGGATGTATGGGTCCTCCTGGGAGGTGATGATGAGGGAGATGACATGGGACTGAGAGCTGCATTTGAGCATAGCACAGAAAGCTGTTACCAGCACTGCAACATATCATCTCAGCTAAACAGAGTTTAGCCACCCCATGCATTCTGCATGGAAAATGCACGAGCTGCACTCTGTAGAGCAATTCTGGGAGTCTGTTAGTGTGTCAAAAGGTATTTGTTGCATTTCATTCAAGGCAAAAAACATGGCACTTTTTACACAGGTAATATGAATGAAGCTTAAAGAGCATATCACAATAAGTTCTCAAACCCTGCAAGGTTCTAAATAACTTCGTCCCCCTTCAGTAGGTCTGCAGGCTCTGTCTCACTTAAAGTACTGACTTTGAAGTGCACACTGCACTAATAAAATCTTAGACTCGACTGCATTGTAGACCTGAAACTTGCCAAAATCTGACACAACCTAATTAAATCTTCAAGAAGAAAAAAAACAGACTGAATTTTTAACAAATGTTTCAGACAAGACTTTTTATTGAGTCTAGGAGAAGGTTGAACATTTTGAAAATCAGAATTCCAATTACAATTAAATGCCAAGGAAAACCTTCCGAGAATTTATTTTAACAAATTGTGATAAAAACAGAGTTCTCAGAACTTTATTTTCTGCAATGATTCTTCTTGGCAAAGCTTTTGACTGGAGGACTTTTTTTGGAGCATACAGCATAAACTTTAAATAAGTTTATGATAAGATCTTGCTTGCCTCATTCAGTTTCCCTGTCATGTAGGAGTAGATACTGGTTAGTACTCATCCAGCCTAGTTCTCCACCTATGATATTGAGAACCTCTCCACATCCATTTACTTTACAGGTCATGAGAGGTCAAGTGTGGTAAACAAATTCCTTGCCAGAGATATTTCCCCAACTATCTTTTTTTCTGCCAGGCCTTTTAGGTTTCTAATACTTCTCAAAATTAACTGCTGTGCTATTTTTTCCCGCTGTAAAAGCAATATCTGAGGAGCTGGTATCAAACACTTGCTTTGTTGAGGAAGATAAACTGCTGTCATGGAAATAACCTGTGCTAGCTGCTAAGAGGTGTCACTTTATCTAGATAAATCATGTAACCTCTATGACAAATATGAAGATGCAGTAAAATTTAGATATTGCCCGAAGGCCATCCTATATAGTGATATCTTTCAAATGATGCATAACAGTGTCTTTCTTACACCAGCCAACTCAATTCCCTGGTAATGAAACGGGCATAATGAGACTTTCTATGTCTCTATTTCTTTATATGTATTGTGGATAAGGATTTCCTACTCTCTGGAACTTGTACGTCTTGTCTGACGTCTTTGTGCATTGCTAAGAACATCTGCAGCGTCCTGAGTACTCCAGTTACACAGATAGTGCTGTGGGCTTGATCATATATTTCAGCAGTCAAAGCTACTTAAAATAAAATCTTTGAACAGTATATAAGTGAAGATACAAAGGTTGCTATTTAATTTGATTAATGTGAGGCTTGCGGAGTCTTTCTGGGTGAATGACTGTTTAAAAAAAAAACCTATTCAGGTATTCAGTGGCAGTCAACAATTGTCAAGCACAATTCTCACTATGAAACTGTGAAACTGAGCTTCCTCAGATCCGCACAATGTAAGAGGGAAAAAGCTCTACTTTCTGTAATAAACAACATAATGTCTAAAGGCCAGTAGCTGGGACTGTATAGTTTCTTGTTTTCAGGTTTTTTTCTTAATAAATGTCAAGTTTCCAAGGGTTGGTTTGCCAGCTGCATGAAAACTGCTCATGAAAACTGGTAGCCTTGGGTAAAAGGAAAATTGAAGAACTTTGCACTGCTGAGAAAACACAGTGGTTTTGGGTAAGGGTTAGCAGAACATCTGCTTTGAGCACCTGCGACTCAGAACAGTTGCCAAGAGCAATTTAAACCAAGACGGCTGTTAACATACTAGTATCCTACAAAATATAAAGAGTTTAATTGGAAAGTAACTGTACCAAACAAAAGACAATCATTTACAAATATCAAATTTATATGTGAATAATTTTTGAAGCAAAATTATCTAGGCTGTGATCAAAAAAATTATTATTCTAAATCAGCCTTACATGAATCAGTGTTAAGCAAGGTTGCATATATTGATTTAAGTGCATTTCTACGGTGGTAATTGATTCAAATCAGCATGTTTGAGGCTTCATCTCAGTGTCCGGAGCAGTTTTGCAATTAGGAAGCTATGCAGCTACAAAAAGTATTTCAACCTGCCTGCTTGTGAATGTGTGTTCTCTGCTTGACAAGTTTTGATGTTTTGCTGAAATCTGAGAAGCTCTCATCAATTAATGTGTTCATCTCAGTGTGTCTCTGAGATAGACATGAGAACGATGGGTATTTCATGGTGTTTGACAAAGTTAATTAAACTGGAGCCTGCAGATCCCAGAAGAATAAATAAATAGCATTGTTTGTCTTTTCTCGAGTAACAATAACATAGGTATGATGCAGTGTCTAACTCCAAGGGCTTACCCTCTGTTTTTGCCCCTTCTGATAATTTTGTCCACAGTCCTCATGACCCATGTGGAAAGTCTCTGGAAAAAAATGCAATTCGTAAGACACGATGAATCCTATGTCCATCTAGAGCCCCCAGCATTTCAGTGGCAAAATCTACTTGGTGAGAGGTAGCTTGACCAAGTCTTTGACAACAGAATAGCAAATTTCTGACTTAATGGCAGTAATTATCTCTCTTACTTTTTCTAGAAGCACATCAGAAAGGTAGAGCTCTAACTATTAACAGTTACCCTTGGAAAATTAGAGATTGTCCTGGACAGATCTATCTGAACTCAAATTCAAGCTATTCCCAAGATTTAAAGTTGAGAATTGCTGTCATGTCCATAGTGTTTATACTGATACCATGAAAATGTTTAACATCTGCATGTGTCTTAGGCTTTACGTGGATAGGAAAAGAAAGAAGAAAGGTGTAGTCTTTATTTCATAAATCTCCCAGGGAGTCTGAGAGAGAGAAATACAGTAACTGACTTATTAACTTCATCAATTTATGAGAAGTCTGGAGGGAAAAGGGCAAGTCCCTATCTAAAGTGTCTAATGTCACTTGAAAAAGAAGAGACACACCAGTTCTTACACACCTCCATTGAAAATGAAATTTTTGTTCTGTCTATCTAGCCTTCTGGAGAGACAGCCTTCAGCTCAACAAGAGGATATCATTTCATTTGTAGCCTAGAAGGTAGCACTGGCCACATTACTGGTTTCTTTGTGTGTCTCAAAGGAGAGAATGCCAGTGTTTTTCTTAATGTGATGTCTTGTGGCTGCTGCAAATTATCAGAAGGAAAAATAAAATAATGTACTGTAAAACCGACAGCGCTATGCTTGGCAGAAAGACTTAACTGAACTTTGGAAGAGTAGGAGAAATATTATGAAACAATAGGAAAATTTAGAACAAGATAGAACATTACCACCTACTCTGTCTATGGTGCGATGCTGTTATGAGTTAAGATCTTGATAGCATATTTCCTTCTAGATTTAATAATTCCAATAAATAGTGGCCTGCTATTAAAAACATTTCTTGAAGATTCAGTTCTCCTATGGCATTAGGCTTTAGTGCCGTTAAGTAGAAGGAAAGCTATCAAGTTAATTAATTACTCTTAAAAACTGAATAACACTAGCCATTTTATAAATAACATGTTAGCATTTTTGCTAATATACTAACATTGATAGGGCAATAAATTTAATAATCTTCATTAAAGGTGTTTTGTTTCGTTTTTTCCTTTTTCTTGGTTTTTGTATTTGCTCAGGCTAGTCGATGAACAGACTTGTTCAACTGAATTTTTGTATGTCCTGAAGTTCCTTAAGGCTGAAGCAAAACAGGGAAATTCTGGTCAGCCTTGTTTTCACTAGATGTGAAAAAGCAAAGGAGAAAGAAAAACTTCTCTGACAAGTTTTTATTTTGTGTTATTTTGTTTTTAAAACCTATCTCGAGGCCACAGCTGACCTGTCAGTGTTTCTTTGTCTGACAATTTTTCAGGTTTTCAAGAGGAAAATTTTAAATTCAGAAAGTTTCAGCTGAAGTAGAATACTCACTAGTGAGCTGTCATTTTTAGCATGAACTTTTAGAGGCAGATATTGAGGATATAGATTTAAAAAAAACAGATAGAATGAAGTTGGATAGGAGGGGCTGAGATCCATGTGTAAAAATTTGTGTTTCCTGAGCTTTATTCTAATTGTGGTAATGCATGAAGAAATGGTATGGATAGCTGGACAAACAGTATGTTTTTAATGATAAGTGTTTCGAATACAATATAATTCCCAACGTAACTGTTTTGAGAGTTCCGTCTGACCATATATGTTCTTCTCTGGAAGTGTCCAGTTAAGATATTTGCAATTGCTATATATAGCAAGTTCAATACAGCCAGCAGAAACACAGTTACCCATTGTGTGTTGCAGCACAACACTATGAGAGGGTCCTAAAGAGTGACCGTTTGAGGTTTTCAGCCTCCACTACCATTTAAGGGACCTCGGAAGATAACTCAAAAAAATCAGGATTATGTCAATATGTATCTGTTTGCTAGAGAGGAGACTGCTTCTCTGTTAAAAAATTTTCCCTATATGCAGCTCAAAAAAGCTCGAAAGCATTGATGCGGAGAAACCAGAACCTCTCACAGCAGAGAAGTTTTAGTGCATAATCTTGTTCTGTCTTTGGAGCTCAACTGAGCTCTGCGCTGCAAAATGAGCAATAGATTTATTTTCAATTATTAGGATGATTTAAGAACCACTGCTCACATTAACAAGCAGGAGTTACAATGTAGCAAGTGCAGCTCAGCACAAGGTAGCCATGAAGGTCGTTGATTGATTGCTGTTGCATATTTGGGAAACTTTGGAAAACCTTGCCAGGTTGAAGGAGGAGAGATGAACCAGAAAGGAGCTAAATCACTTTGCCAGTTCCTTTAAGAGGGCATCCAAAAGTGCTGGCTCACAGGAAGGTTTGTATTTTAAATGTGGAAGCTCTTGTTAAATACGGCCTTGAATTAAATCCAAACTAGACTCTGCTAACATATAATTTCCATTAAGAGTAGTACTCCCATAGCCCTACATCAGATTAAATTGTAGATAAGTGACATTGTTAAGTAGTTTGGCTTGCAAATGTAGGTTTGATTAGGAAGAGTGTGATAGTAAAATTACAGTCTCATTTCAGGAACAAATGAAGTATGTGTATATATGTATTTATTCATTGTAAAACTACAGAAGAACAATTTGAGATGGCTTCTATTTTGGGGTGCAAAGCAAAATGATTTTAGAAATGAAAAGTGATGCTATTGTAACCAAGTCATGCGCAAAACGTAGTCTCATCTGAAGTAACAATCAACTCCCCCACTGAAATGGGAGATCCCCAATCCGCCTCCATTTGCAACACCCTGCAATGCAGTAGTCAGCAGTTTCAAAGTTTGAGGATATAGTGTAGATTATTCTGATTCTAGTAGATAGCAAAAGAAATAAAAGTGTGAAACTGCCTTCTATTTTAAGATACATGTCCTTTTAATAATCTAGTCATGCAGCCTTCAGAACACCATCTTTGTCTTGTAGATGTTAGGTACAGAAGACATTTACCTTACATAATTCTAGGTATAAATTCAATGAGAGGCAACAGGAAACTATGAAGGTGATTGATCTTCAGTAAGGACAGTCATAAATGGGAATAATCCACATTAAGTGATTTCTCTTCCAGGAAAAGGATGTGGCTCCTGATAGCAGGCTGTTGAGGAGAGTGAGAGAAGCTGCACTCCAGACTGAAAATCTGTCTCCATTTACACACATGAAGACTGCCACATCCCTTACTGACTTTTTTCTTGCCCTTGCCATCTGTAATACAGTTGTGGTCTCCACGGCTACAGAGCCAAGACAAAGGGTAATCAAACTTTAAGTTTATGAGGAAAATTAATTTTGCTTGATCCATTTAACAACGTAGCGGTGTTCAGTGAAACCTGACATGGTGAGAAATGCCTTGTTTTGGAGTTTTCCTCTAGTTCTTGTACCTTTTGTGTAATGTCTACGGTTTCACTGCCTGTATACATCCCTGCCTAACACAACTCTTTGTTTGATAAATGGCTACGGCCACTGCAGTTTCTGCAGTTCTCCTTTTAAATTTTAGATTATGCTTACTGTAAGAAATCGTTTAAGTACTGGGTTTTCTCTGATCTCTCAGGCCGTTAACAGAATTACAGGGGGCTTTATTCTATCTCTGCTTCAGAGCCAGAGACACAAACCACCACCAAATTTGGATCCCAGCTCAGCTATGTCTCCTCTACTGAAGTCACCTACCTGAAGTTAAATTGAAAAAGAAATTGCATCATATTTTTGTTATTATTGTCATTTAGGTGCAGACAATATTGAGGTATTGTAAAGTATCCTGTAGTTCACATTTGTTTATTTTTAACCACAGCGTACCTGATGTTTTCTCATATCTCTAGGTTACAGTCCCACCACAAATAAAACCTTCAGGAATCACCCTGGAGAGGATTCATCAGATATTCCAGCGGCTAAAATTAGCAAGTCTCAGTCAATCTTTTGCATCATCTCAGTCTAGTTCAGATCTTGGAGCTAGCTTTAGTGCAAAGAGCCCCGACGAGCGCCTTGCCGCGCTGGATTGCTGCGATAACGACGATGACTGCTACGGCGGTAATGGGAAGGGCAGCACGGATATTGGCAGTGCTTCCTTGGATGAGGTTTTTAAATCTGTTTCTCACAGTTCTTTGCCACCAGAATTTTGTTATGAGGCTGAGAGCCCAGATGAGGCAGCTCTTGTCTATGCTGCCCAGGCATATAGTTTTACCTTAGTGTCCCGGACTCCAGAGCAGGTGACCGTGCGGTTGCCACAAGGCACCCTCCTGACTTTCGACATTCTCTACACCTTGGGATTTGATTCAGTAAGGAAAAGGATGTCAGTAGTGGTGAGACACCCTATAACCAAGGAGATCATCGTCTACACAAAAGGAGCTGACTCTGTTGTAATGGACTTACTGGAAGACCCCGTCAAAGGTAATGGAGTACGGCCAGTGAGCCATTTCTGTTACGCTGCCTATAAACAGGCGCAAGTAGTTTACAGTACTCTTTTCCATATCCAATATTATATCTAGCTGTTAGGATTATTAAAAAGAATAAGCTCTGCGTAGTACAGATCAAGAGCTGAGGTGTTTGTTTAACCTGAGTAGTGCTTGGAATATGGAATCAGCTAATTAAGATTCAGTGAAAGCCTTAACTCATGTGAGTTGTGTATTTTGCAATAATACTGTCATAAGGGCCTGACCATTGTATTTCAGTTTGTCAGCAAGGGTGCTATAACATTAAAACAAACAAACAAAAAAGAAAAACAAACAAAAAAACCCAAGTAATATCATCTTAAAGGAAACAAGAAACTACTTCAGGCTTATGGATTACATGGCCAATACTTATGGGCTGTGAAAGGAATTGCTATTGCATTAGCATCCAGTCTTCTCTAATGTCCACTCCCTTTTAGTCTTTAGGTCTGAAATGATCTGTGCTTAAAATATGGAACTTTTTGCTTGTATTTCACAGCTGACCTTAACACACAGAAAAGAATGAGAAGAATAAGAGATAAAACACAGAAGCACCTGGACTACTATGCCCGTGATGGCCTACGAACTCTGTGCATAGCTAAGAAGGTAACAGGGCATTAGCCTAAAATTGTTTACAGCTCTGCTGTGTATGTGCCAACAGGTTTATTAGAAAAACTGTAATAGCTGTAAGTCTTACCGCTTCAGGGAGCAAGCAAGTTAAAGCCCATTTTTCTGCCCCTCTGTTTGATTGTTCTGTAGCCTTTTTTACCATCTTCTTCCTCAGTATCTAACCAGGATGAGAGGATAATGGGTACTTGGTCAGCCTCAAAACATTCATTTCTGCTTCTCTTATAATAACTCTAGCTGCCCTTATTTAGAGTTATTCCAGGCAAGAAAGAAAAAGTCCACGGGGGAGAGAGCCTGTTTTCTTTCTTGTTTGGCATTCATCTTTCAAAAACATTGCCCTCAGCCTGCCGTAGTACATTTTAGACTGATACTTTCATACAGAAGTTGTCTATGTGCAACAAATAGGTCATATTCAAGCTTTGGAGAGAGGTAGTGCAACCTTCAGAAACTGCATGTTCCAGTTCAGAGTCCCAGCTAAGGACTGTGTGATCAATAGTTTCTCTCAACTGCATTTTTAAGTCTTAGCTGTAGTCCGTTTACACAAACAGGAAGGCAAGTCTATTTTACTCATTGCCACTAGTTCCTGCAGACGTCTATTGGAAAAGTTTGTGCTTTTTAAAGCCAATACAGTGCTTTACCAACCTGGATTAAGTCTCTGCCATTCAAAATTTTGGCATCCTTCTCTTCCTACTTGAACTTGAAATGAGCTCTGCTTCAATTCCGTTATGCAGATCTTGAACGAAGATGACTTTCAAAAATGGGCCAATTTTCGTCGTGAGGCCGAAGCTGCGATTGACAACAGAGATGAGCTGTTAATGGAGACTGCGCAGCACCTGGAGACCAAACTCACCTTGCTAGGTAGCTACAAATAAGAATTGTCATTGTGTGAAGTATCACTTGCTCTCCTGTGATATTCTTGGCAATCAGACAGACAGCAGCTTATACTAATTTATATCAAAAAGTCTTCCTCTGAGGTTTGGAAGTCTCAGGGCTAGGATGCACAAACCAATTGCAGTGTCTGAACAAGTTCGTGTGTGTTTTGAGGAGCAGTAATTTTGAAAAAGTGTATCGAAACTTTCCTGTGTCATGAGTTAAGAACATGCATATTCACACTTCCTGTGGCTCAGGTGACATGACAGATAACGTAGTGCCTATAGTTCAATCACGTCTGTGTCCATAATAGATATGTATAAAATTCAATTTTTACCACAATCTCCAAAGGAATTTTTGTAATTGTAAAACTGTATGACAAAAACAGTAACTAAAGTGTCCACATACACGTGTTCTTGCTGGTGAATTCCTACTGTCGTTGCATTCGGTCATGTTTGCTTTCTCCGCTTTGTAAAAGTGCGATGTTTTTTGCTAAAAGTTACCTCTCTGGGTACTTGTGCATCACCATCACCATCTACAAACATTTTTCTGTTAAATTAAGGACCACTTCATTGCTTCCTTTTCTATTTTATATCCAAATGTTTTGTTATTTAAGATTTTGATTTTCAGAGTTTCCTCGTTTTCATCTTTCTGTGTATACAGTCTGTGCCCATAATTTGTTATCCTGAATGTCTATGAATGCAAGCTATTAGCATTATGGCTTCTTATAATCTCTGCAGTGGTTTAAAAAATTGTAGTAATAACAGTAAATGCCCTAAGCAGAATCACAGAAGAGGCAATGTAGCTCTTGTCGAAATCTGTCACCTTTGCCACCTCTAGAGGCGGTGTATGCTTTCATACTTAATTTCACAAAAAGTATTCTTTTAGCTTTAATCAGTGCCTATCTTTAATGTGTCACAGTTACAGCTTCTTCAAACTGACCTCTAGTGGAAGAGATAAAAAGGGGAATATTGTGACATTCAGAGATGGTGGTTACCTTCAGGATGAGTGTAGGCATCTGCTGCTAAGTTTGTATGTTTTTAAAAAAAGAAAACTTACTGTACCTTTTCTTCTCCCTTTGATGAGTGAAGCATCTGACTTGGCAGGAGGATAGCATTCATTTAAATAGTCAAGGTTCGTTTTATCTGGTTGCTATGATGAGCCTTGATGCAGTACGTTAAAAATGCATATGACGTGATTCCTCTGCTAGTACCGTGTCACTGTGGATTGTTAAGAAGAAACGACATGCATCGTTCTACCACCTAGTAAAATGAAGAGCCAGAAATCATTGATAGCTGACATGTTGAGATCATGTTAAGCCAAATGTGGATTTTGTGCCTGTCTTTAGTTCCTGGACAATACCTTGGCTCAGCTCTTGATAAGTGCAGGATCATGATTTAAAGTCAAAGATCTAGTTAAAAAAAAAAGTGGGGGGGAGGGGGAGGAGAGCAATGTGATTACCAAATAGAATAAACCTAGTTCACTGCTTCTTTTCCCATTTGTCTAGGAGCAACAGGGATTGAAGATCGGCTGCAAGAGGGAGTGCCTGACACTATTGCAGCTCTTCGAGAAGCTGGGATACAAATCTGGGTGTTGACAGGAGACAAACAGGAAACAGCAGTTAACATTGCATATTCTTGTAAACTTCTGAACCAAAGAGACACTGTCTTTACCATTAACACTGAAAATAAGGTGAGTACATAGAAATTCATAGAATTCTATATTTCATTTTTTTGTGTGGCTTGCAGCTTGGCACTGTTTTGCTTTATGTTGTGTTCAACACAAGAAAACACAACTAACCAAAAGCCCTGCATGGCAGCTTTTGGAAAAGGCCATAAACTCTTTAGAGTGCAGGTAACAGGATGCATTGGAACCCATGGCTGCTTTGCAGGGGATGAGGTTTATTAGATTAAAATATAATGAATCTTCTAAAAAAAAAAAAAAAAGGTCTTTAAAAAAATGACCTGAATATTATGCTTTCAAAAGCAGGGTAATATACAGTTTAAGTGCCTAATTCCTTAGCAATATTGATATTTGGCTTTTCTCCTTGTAGTGGAAATTTGAGTTGCAATGATATTTTAACGCCAAGTGATATCTCTAAGAAGACGTTTGGAAAATACTATATGGGTCAATCTGGAAAAAATATACAGGCGTAGATTTAATTAAATTCGGAATTTATAGTCATACCTTTCCTAATAGGATTAGGTTTAATCAGAAACGTCCTAGTGAACAATTTAATCCAGCATCTTTTTGTGTAAGCAGCATTTTATCGTCTCAGAATCCTAAAAGCAGCTCTTTGTGGGCCTGCTAAAAATGCAGTCGTTTTCTTGACACTCCATACTGGTACCCGTAGTGTTGGTGCACGGAGATATTCCCTGTATTTCTATGGGCAATAAGATAGTCAGGCAGCCGGTAAAGAAAGCATACTCCAAAATGAAGATAAGCCCTTAAAGGGCATCTCTGTCAGCTCCTGTGACTCAGACAAATACAAAATACAGTGAGCAATCCGTGGAGCAATTACAGCTATTTCTGAAACCCTCAGAACAGAAGAGAGAAAACTGAGCCCAAACTTTTGTAGAGAGTAAATGCTATTAAGGATGGTGGAGGTAAAAAGCTCTAGAAAAGCCACCGCTGCTTTTGCAGATTGGAAAACAGTGAGGAGGAGGGTGTCAGGAAGCCATGCCTTCCTTTCTGAAAGCAGGATAGCAACTGCCATGCGCGTCGCCTCACCTTGCGCTCCTCCGGGCACCCTGGCGGGGACATGACCTTTTCAGATGGATATAAAAACGAGTGAGTTCAGGCATTCGGGCTAAACCAGACCCATTTGCTAAGGAGAAGTCAGGCCTGGCTACGTGCAAAGCCCAAAAGGAGGCCCCAGGACACCAGCTGCTCTGCCCTCATTTTGTGCTTTGTGGCTAGTGCCCTTGTATTGCCTGCACAAGCCGCATGTCCTCTGGGGTGGGCTGTGCCCTCCTCCTGCAGTACCTGCTGGGACACCCTGTGCTGCTCCGCTCTGCTCCACTCTGCTGGTCTTTCCCTTTTATGCAAGATGCATTTGTGGCCCCTACTCAGTGGGGATGGGAGTTACCGTGAGAAGAGATTTTCCTTAGGTGGGTATGAGGGTGAGGAAGGACAGCAGGGCGGCTTGCTAGGTTCCAGTAGAGCAGAGAACTGGGCAGTCTGGTCTGCACAGATGTCCTTTCTCGGACTAGAAAGTCGTTTATCTCGGCCTTCCCGCTGCCCTCTGAAGGTGCGTTAGTGATACATGCTGGCCTTTCTCTGTAAGGATATAGTGAGGATTGATTAAATAATGCTAGAGTACGGAATATTTTTATGTTGACAGGCAATCGCATAGAGCAATTAGATGGCCTGCTTTCTAGCTTCTTTTCTCTGCAGTTAGTAGCTCTCCAAACAAGAATAAAATTCTATACAAACATCTCTCTTTTTTAATGTCATGGAAATAGGGAAACATGCGAAGATGATATGGAATTTGGCATGGAATGCATTCTGTGCCTCAATGTGTAATTTCATTTGATAAGCATATCTGCTTTAAGGGAAGACAGAATGAATATATTTAGGATGGAAATTAGAAGATGGTTTGTGTCAGAGAAGTGACACCACAGACAGGCTGTTTCCCGGCTCCGGGAAACACAGGCACATGCACCAATCTATTGCACCCTATTGCAGTCGGTCTAGGCTCGTACGTGAAATGTACACATGTACATTGTGCTTGTGTGAAATATGTGTGGTTCACTGGGCATTGGGTTTACTCCACATTAACGTTTACCTCTCTCCCTTTCAATCCAAAGTCTGACACTGATTCTGAAAGAGTCTTCCAGTGGCAGCAGCAGAGGAAAATGTTTAATGCCCACAAAGGGTTACCCCTTTGACAATAACCTCTTAACTCTGACAAAGTTAACCCTTAAACTAAATACCCATTAAAGGGAAAATCCTTTGACAAAGGGTTAACAAAGGGTTCTAGGGGATGAAGTGGATCTGGTGAGAGATACCGTTTCCTTTTATCTACAGTTAATCTTGCTTTCTACTGGGTGTTGTGTTTGCTCGTGACCAAGCACTGAGCATCCTCCCCCCCCCCCCCCGAGGGGATTCAGGGTTAACAATCTGAAAAGCACTCTCAAGTTGAAAAGCATTTTTGCTTGTAAAGCTATAGGAGTAATAACACATTTGCAATCACTTAAAATACCACAGTTGTCATTATGGCTGGTTGCTACATGGCTGCAACAGTGAGACGACCCACATCGCATATATTTTTGTGTGTGTGTGTCTGTGTGTGCACATGTATTTACAAATACATATATATGTGTATGTTTGGATGTATATATTACTAATTTGGCCTCTCAGCATTAACCGTTTTGACCTTCAGTTCCTTAAAGAGAAATGTGCATATTTGGGCACTAAAGAGAATTTTTTAGGATCCTCATGATGCACTGTTTTCCACACCAAATTCACCTCTTGCCCATTCCTACAAGGAATGAAATTAACTTCAAACTACCATGATTTTGCTAAAATTCTATTTTTCAAACAGCTGAAATATTTCACTGTCTTTATTTGTTCTTTTTGCTATCTAATTCCATTTTCAGCATTATATCAAGAAATCCCCATCTTTGTCCTCCATCCCAGAAATTTCTGCTCAGTTTCTTCCAGTGCTAAGAAAGAAGTGAGGGCCAACATCAAGAGATGGTAACTGTTAAGGGCAACAATTAAGGAACTACAATAGCTGGCTTTAGTGGGAAGGGCCTTTATTTCCACCCCTGAACACACCAGCTTATCAAAACACTGGAAATCAGATATCTTCCAATAAGAAGCAACACAAGTAGGGAGTTTAGGGGGATTAATTTTAAAATGCAAGTCAAGACAAACCTGGAATTTTTGGTCTGTTCACAAGAAGATGGTGCTTCTTGGATATTTTTTAGATTTTTAGTGTGCAAGCTAGATGCAGCTTTCTATTAGATGTCAGAGTACATCTGATTCCAGAACCTCCCACTTAAGTGTAATTTAAATCTTGCAAGCATCCTACACATGTACCTTATGCAACATAAAGTGAAAATAACATCTTTGCACTGAATCATCACTCGATAAGCTGACAGGAAAGGTAAAAAAGGGAATGATAAGCTCCTCAGGTATTCAATGCCATGCCACAGAAAGAGGACTATTAGTACAACCAGGCAGCAAAATAACTTTTAGATGATTCTGGGTTTTGTCTCATAGTGGTGTGCCAGTTTAGGAGATCCATATGGGAGAGGTAGAAGTGTCCCCCTTAAATCTGTTTCGGTTTGATACTAAGTCAGTCAGGGTTGTGCGCATCTGAAAAAAGACTTTAGTCCAAAATGAGGCAAATTTGCTAAGGGAGGAAGACTTAGTTGTGTCTGAGGAGCAGTGCTGGGCAATGTGAAGGTTTTTTTCTCGCTCTACCCCAGGTGACACAGACCTGATTTCTGACATAGAAAAGGCCACTCTGTCAAAATCACTGGAAAGTTTTGAAAATCTGAACCTCTTGTTTCTCTACCATAGTTTATTTCTGAGGGGGGGAAAAAAACACTGCAATAGCTCACATAATTCATGTTAGAACTAGCTTTAGAAATCTCCTTTAGAAAGACTTAATCAGTACTTTTCTTTTCTCTGAACTCTCAGCACTACAAATGTGCTTTTCTTTTAAAATAATTTCTTATTGCAGTTAAATAGGTGATAAGATGTACAATGTTTTTGGTGAAGGATTTGATGACGTCATTGAAGTAATCTCCAATCTGATGAATTAGTGCGTTTCTCAGTCAGTTTTCCCTAATGTTTATCTGATAGGCTTAAACAAACTGTCATGATCATACATACATATATTTTGTAAGGTATTCTGCTCTAAAGAGACAGGTAGATAGCTATTTCTAGAACCACTTATGTTTTCTCACAGGAAACTTGTGAATCTCTCTTGAATTTAACCTTGGAAGAAGTGAGGAAGAGTTATGATGTTGAAAAACCACGGAGGAAATTTTTTGGCATTATCCCAACATCTTTATCAGTCTCTGGGGCCCCCTCTCCTGAATTTGGACTGGTGATTGATGGAAGAACGCTGAATGTCATCTTCCAAGGGGGCCTGGAAAAGACGTTCCTGGCCCTGACGAAGCACTGCCGCTCGGTCCTCTGCTGCCGCTCCACGCCTCTCCAGAAGAGCATGGTAGTCAAGCTAGTCCGGAGGCAGCTTAAAGTGATGACACTGTCAATAGGTACCTTGCTCTTGAAGTCTCTTACAGGACAAAGAGGGAAGCAGTTCTTTCATTAAGAGTTATGAAAATGTATGGAACATATTGTATATGCTATGATTTGTATATACTAATATTTGTATATGCTAACTTCCTTTCAGCTAGATAAGATGAAAAAATAGTATTGGATATTCTTTCCTTATCAACAATCACATAAAAGCCCTTCTCCAGCTTTCAGTGAGCAAATTTGGTGCCCATTTAAACAAGATGAAGGTACTCCAAAGTCAAAATCTCCCAGTTGTCCCTTTCATGCACATCAGCACAAATGCCTGTGCGTATTCTTCAGAATGCCCTAGCGTTGAGGGAAGGAAAGCTGTCAATAGTAGTTACCACTTTGTGTTTTTATAAAGCCCTTTTCCTACCAGATTTTCCCCTCCACTGAAAACATTATTATCCCTAGAGTAGCGTTAAGCACTGAATCCTTTGCTTTTTTTTACCTCCAAATAATGTGAAATGCTTTGAGTTTCTTGCTGCAGTGTTCGTAAGTGATCCCACTAAAATCCTTGCAGAATTGATATTTTACAACTTAAAACTAAAAAAAAAAAAGACCAAAAAAGACACATCAGAAAAGGAAATCTGATATATTTCAAAACTTCATGCTTTGCTTCAGAGTTCAAAATATAAACCTTCAGTCTTCCACTTCATTTATTCTGCTTTACCAGCTAACCTAATTCAATCTGCACATTGCAGGCCACCAGGGTTGTTCTTTCCATGGAAATTTGGTTATGTATTTTAACATATTGCTGAAAGTTTAAATGAGCAGAATAATTCCTGAAAATGGCTTGTTACAGTGTCAATAGCATTATAATTTGTGATATAATTTGGAGAATTCAGGAAGCAGGGTGCTGCAAAGCATATTGCTGAGTACATGGAGATCACCAAGCAGAAATGTATAAAACGGAGGAAACGTGGATGGTGTCAGGGTGTCTGTGCCACTACCTAGCCAACCTCAATGCCAGGCTTAGCATGGGTGGAACAAGGTCTCCTAAGACGAACGATCTTCCAACCAAGACGAGAGCCTAGAGCTCTTGAGTGCTTGACCCCCAGTATCAGCTTTCCTAATCAAGATTCATGTTACTATGGAATAGTCTATGTTTATCAGTACAGCTGGGATTTTTTTTAATTGTTCTACTATAGGCATGTAATGTTAAGCATCCTTTCTCACTCCTTTGTTGTTCCCTCCTATCTTTCTGTTCTAGGGGACGGGGCAAATGATGTCAGTATGATTCAAGCAGCTGATGTTGGAATCGGAATATCTGGCCAAGAAGGCATGCAGGTATCCCTTCATTTATTTCTTTTCCTCTTTTGTCAAGTGGCTTCTTGATGCTTCATAAGTTTTATAGCAGCCATATACTCAGAGTGTCATCTTAAAGGTGCAAGTTGGCATCATTGCTGTCATAGACTAGTATGCGGTCCATAATTACAGGTCCAGTAAAAAGTTTTTTGAGCCAACAATTAGCATGCATGGACAAATATGTGTTTGCTCATAAGCCTGGAAAATTAACAGATGTCTGTCCAGTGATAGGTTAACATCTAGTTTGTGAATCATCTCTGCTATAGCATTTCCAGGTTCTGTTGATTCTCATTCAGTATTTTCCTGCTACAAATTCTTTCTCACATATCCCCCTTCCTCATTTTCCTAAGCTTGAAGGTTCTAGGGAGATAGAAAGTTCCAATTATTTTCTCAAATCTTTTTCCCACTACATGCAATAACAGGAAATTGTTTCAATGTCCATGTTCAAATATCATTATATTGAGTGGTAAAATAGATTGTAAAATAATCTCCATTCTTTTCACTGAAGGCTGTGATGGCTAGTGACTTTGCAATATCCCGATTTAAGCATCTCAAAAAACTACTTCTCGTCCATGGACATTGGTGTTATGCTCGCCTGGCAAAAATGGTGATTTACTTTTTCTACAAGAATGTGGTAAGTTGATAAAGATTCTGGAAGTCTTCATTCTAGAAGAGGTTAAGTCCAGATTTTTTTATTTTTATTTTTTGTAGGCTGTGTTTACTTTTTATTAAAATGCAATTACTGTTTCTTCATTTTGCAAGTTTTCACTAGGCTCCCCCATTCTTAGTAGTATGCTGCATAAAGCATTGAGGAAAATATGAGATCTAAATATCTTTTGAAATAGGATTATTCCAGAGGGAAAAAGGACTCAAGGTTTAGTAACTTTTATATGGTAGTTCAAGAAACTTTTCTAGCCATACCCATGAGCCTCAAAATAAAATTTGCATAAGGAACAGTGGATTACTAGTGCTAGAACACAAAAGAGAGCTCTGCATTGAGAAACAGTTGTTTGCGAAACCTCTGAATTTTTGCATTTCATTTGATAGGAACCGCTTGCAAGCATTGATGCAGTCATATCTGGCATTTTTATTAAAAATTTAATGTATATGCAAATAAGCTGTGCATTGAAGAGTAATATAAAGTGGATAAACCTGATAGCAATATAGTTTCTGCAAGCCTGTGCAAACAAGTTGATTTGACATGAAATACACTCTGAGCATAAAAAACTATTTACTTAGAATTCCAAGTGTGCATTTTCTTTTAAATAAAACATAATCCTTATTCAAAATTATCAATGTTAAAATTTATAATGGAAATGGAAACTTTTCTTTTCCTGGCTGAGCATCCTTTCAAAGTTCAAAGGATATTTATTTGCAGTATGAAATAGCTCTCCAGATTGGGATGCTGCTGTTCTATTATCTCCTGGTACTATTAGAGAGCAGGAGGCCTTTGATTCCACATTGACAACTGGCTTGTAAAAGGATTTAAAAATCTGGTGCTTAGAGCTGTGAACAATTTGTTTAATTATTCTCTGATATTTTCTTAAAGAAACCTAACTGATGTTAAAAAACTGTATCACACTGGATTGATGTGAAATACTTAAGATATACTACTTTAAGAAATAAAGTGCAGGGATGTCTACTGAAAGTACCTATAAATAAAATGATGTATTCTTAGGAGAACACATTAAAAACCAATGTGCTACATGGACCTCATAGATGGACTGATGGGGAGCATAGATGATCCACGCATTGCCAACTTAAGGGTCCACACCAGCTTTAAAAGCAGAGGACAATGTGAGGGAAGAGGACATAAAGGAGAGGCCACAGGAAATGTGCCACTTTGTGGCTCCCAAAACTCGGAGAGAAATGAAATGTTAGTGGGAAGGATGCGTTTCTGCATGTGTGGGGAGCCACGGCTCAGCCTGTACCATGACATTGAGTTTGTGTTTGCCTCTTCCACAGAGCTACGTCAACTTGCTCTTCTGGTACCAGTTCTTCTGTGGGTTCTCCGGTGCTACCATGATAGATTATTGGCAAATGATCTTTTTCAATCTCTTCTTCACCTCGATGCCCCCTATTCTCTTTGGAATCCTCGACAGAGACATTTCTGCAGAAACACTTCTAGGTTTGCCTGAATTATACAAGAATGGGCAGAATTCAGAGGTATGTCTTGATTACTGAATGAAGTATCTGCTTGATAAGCCAAAGGACGACAACTTTTTTTTGTTTTTTTGGGGAGGGAAGGAAGAAAACTGCTTCAAACTCACCTGGAACCAAATTATCCATTCCTGGTTTCTTGTTTGCTAATGACCACTAAGAGAAGGTATAATTGTAGCTTTCATAAGGTTTATTCTTCAGTTAAGTATATGGCATAATCTGGTTTGGTACCAGCAGGCTGCATTATAGTAAATGAAGTGATGCACTAGTGAGTCAGCCCTGTGAATTGAAACCCTGAGGTTTGGGAGTTTTTCATTTTAGGGACATTCAGTGTTGCTGATCTGAAGAAAGATGATGGAGCAGATAGATATATAGATATACATACACCGATTATATACATGAAAAAAAATCCGAATGAGGGTGTAAGGAGAAATAAATGAAAGAATAAGAAATATAACAACTGAGGGTAAAAGAGTTTAGCTGCTCCCTGATTAAACTCTGGTGAGATCTGGGTTTTTTGAACAGTCTCAGCCTACTGAGGAGTGCTAGACGAAAAGCTTGTTAAAAAGATTGCAGCAGAAAGTGACAAAAAAACTTAAAACGTTAGATCAGTGAACAGCAGGCCATTTTTTTCTGCTCTCATATTCAGGAACAGACATTTTAATGCACAGAGGATTTTGTCATTTTGGTGTCTAGGCTGTTCTAGGTATGAACTGTTTCATTTATTTACTTTACTTTGAATATTAGAATTATTAACTCTCAAGAAATATACATAAGAGATTATATTAAGATTTCCTTAAACTGCCTGTTAAGTTTACAGAACTAGTCTGATCTCTATGGTATGTGAGGATCACAAATATATAGACATGCATATCTGGTTTTGCATATAATCACACTTTGGTAAAATTCTAAAGGCTTATTCCCAGATTGTCTTAAGACTTTTAATAGGAAATGATGAAAATGTTAATGGGCAAATTTTGATGTGTCCTTTGTTTCAGGTCACAAAATTGCACAATATTTAGGAATTCTTCTCTCTCACCCTCTTTTTACAGAACAGCTACTTTCCTAATCATGGACTATAATTTTTAGCACTGGTGAACATCAGTAGTTCGTAGTCTTTGCTGATGTTTTAAAAATCTAGTTTTAGGAGCACAGACTTTGAGGATTCGTTGCAGGGCTTTCCATTCCCTTTCTTAGCAGCTGCTGGACCTCACATATACATGAAACATATGTTCTCTATCGTTTTGAAGAGAGAGTTGTTGTTACTTTGGCATTTTGACTGCACCGATGCTTCCTACTCCACCACAACTCTGTCACCATAGGTCTGAAGATAAGTTTAAATATGACATGTGGTCATACTATAATGGCTCAAAGTAGATGCTTCAGTGGATGGAGCAGTAGAAGAAAAGAAATTTGCTTAGTTTTGTAGCCCCAGAAAGAGCTTTGTGTGAAAAAGAGTTTGAGGAATGGGCTCCTGTGGAGAGGGATGGGGCAGAGATTCATGACGTCTGACTTTGCAACCTTTAGTTGACTGGCTAGTCTTCCAAAGGTCCCTCTGTAGTCAACGCAGAGAGAATGCCTGTTCAAGGATAAGCCTTTGCTTCAAATCAGCATCTGAAGAGGTGTTTGATCATGAACAGAGACCAGTTAGCTATAATCAGCAGACTAATTGGTAGAAATACAAAAAGCAAGTACGTCTGTAATAAGAACAGAGATGTGTGTCCTGTCATAATGACTGTTCACCGCAAACTCTTACAGATATACAAGCTGTCAACTTTTATTGTTACAATGTTGGACGCCTTCTATCAGAGCCTTGTTTGCTTCTTTGTCCCTTATTTGGTAAGTACATGGAGCACTTATATTCTCGTTCTCGTTCTCTTTAAAATATTGAAAAAATAGAGATTGACTTCTGAATCATCGAGGTTTCCCTCCGTCTCTCTTCCTGTTTTCTAGACGTACAAGGGCTCTGACATAGATGTGTTTACCTTCGGGACCCCCATCAATACCATCTCCCTCCTCACCATTCTCTTGCACCAGGCTTTAGAAATGAAAACATGGGTATGTATTTGACCTGTGCTATACATGTGACTTTTCTGAACACAGCATGCTGTGTAGACATGGCGTTGTCTTTCAGAGTGATTTACTTTAATTCTGGGTCACAAAAAGTAAGTAGCGTATGCACCAAGTGCAACGTGGCAAAGTTGATTATTAGCCTTGGGATAATAGCTTCTCTAGCAGAGCAGGAGCATTTGCTTCTACGGTGCCTTTGAACATAACAGTACACAATTTTTGCATACTTTAGTATATGAGGAGGAAACAGTTTGACTTTTTTTTTTTTAAACCATATTCACTGCCATTGTTTGGTTATTTAATTTCTAGGTATTTCTCCTGCTGCACTTTTGAGTAGCATGAGCTTGTATGATACGTTCTTTCTAATTATTCCTTATGTCCTCCTGTCTTAAAAACAGAGTTAAGATCTAACATACATTGCTGTCATGTTGTGCACTTCTGCTTACAGACGGTGTTTCACTGGGTCACGATGATTGGGAGCGTGGTGCTTTACTTCATCTTCTCAGTGGTCTACAATGCTGTCTGCGTGGTCTGCAACCCTCCCACCACCCCCTACTGGATTATGGAAAGGCATCTTTCAGACCCTACCTTCTATTTATTGTGCCTCATTACCCCAGTCATTGCACTCTTACCAAGGTTTGAATAGTGCACTGGTTTCTTCTCAATTTTCGTTTTGGGGATTTGTAGGCATCTGGGTGAAATAACGGTAATGATGTCTATAGATATGAGGTATGTCAGGCACACAGACAGTCACAGGTCTGAAAGTCAGAAGCCTGGGTTTTATATTCCATTTCATGAACCTTAAATTTATTCATTTATATAAACAAAGACAAGTCACTCTGCACCTATTGCCTTTGTTTTCTGCTCAGGAAAACCTTTCTTTCCGGGGTGCTGCAAAATTTACCAGCACAAATCCTCTGCATAAATACTCACTATGATAAGCACAGAGAGTTTTTGAGCAGATCAGGACTAGAGAGCAAAGCTTTGAGATATTCCTATACAAACTGAAAGCTGCAAAATGTATTCTATTTCTTTAGTACATTACAGTGCGTTATTAAGCCCAATTTAAGAGTATGTCTCTGTATCAAACAATTGTCTACATCCAGAATCTTAGTTTTACTCTGTGCCACAGATGAGGTATGATAAAAATTGCTTTGAAAACTGAGTCTGAAAAATATTTGAGGAGGGATAGTAATTATTTTAATAGGTTCATGAGAAAATTTGATTTGAAAAACATAACAATTTTGTTCCCGTGTGCATGTTAACCTTACTGCCTTCAGTTTTTAATACTTTAATCATTCTTTAAGCAGGTATGCTTCCTCTGAGTTGTACTGCTTACTTCGATTTTTTATTTTTGCTTGGACAATGAAAGAGATGGCCTTGTTAAACTCTCGCTAGTCTGCTGCTCATTCTAGTTGCCAGCACACTGCTATTGCAAGAACCAGGAAAATATTTTTAATATCTAATTTTGTAAATACTTTAAGGCATTGAAGTTTTGGCCTTAACTTTGTCTGAAAAAGGAACCTTTTGAGACTAGACGATATTTTTCCTCAAGTAGTTATTTCCTCATTTGAGTTCAGATTCTCTTGTGATTTTGTGTTGCATTATACGAACTTCAGGTCAGGATAAGCAACACATGGTTCATTGAGGTCTCATATCTTTTAGGTATAGCATCCTTTCGCAATCTATTCTGTTCTCGTGTGATTTTTGTCTTCCTATCACTCCACGTTCACAGTGTCATTTTTGACGCTGAGCTTTCTCCTGGGAGCTACGTCAGACATGGTTAAGAATTCATATATCCATCTTGGGGATTCAGCAACGTTGAGATTGTTGCTGCCTCAGTATAATGAGCTTAAAGATTTGTATCTTGGTAATTTCAGGGTTGGAGAGCTGCTATTCTTTCTTGTAGGTTCCCCAGATTACTTTCTGTAGAACCCCTGATTCATGGAAAGTCCAGCCCCTCATTTCCACACAGCTGTGTCAGCTTATCACACCAGTGTTGAAACCACCCTTTGTTAAATAGAGTCCTGCACTTCAGTTGGTTCTTCTTACCACACTGTTTGCTCCTTGTCTCCCTCGGAAACCTGTTGGAGTTTATAGCCTTGAGATTCTGAATTCTTTCTAAGAGATTTTGTTAAATACTTGCTCAGGCTTTCCTTTTAGTAGTGCCCTCTGTGCTAGCTGACTTGTTCTGGGATGCTACACATACCCCATGGGGACTTGCCTGTGCCCTGCCGTGGGTGCAGACTTTTCCTGGAGCACTCTCTGGCAGCACTTTGCAGTGCATCTTGTGAGCATTTTCATCTGAAAAGCGCCTTTGAACTATGTTTTGGGAAGCCCTGCACACCTTTAGCTATTAAAACCCTCAGGTCTGAGGAAAAAAAGGGAGCTGAATTTCATGTTCCTTCATTGGCAAAGGGAAAACAACGTGCCTCTTGGAGGATTTCAGTGTAATAGCCAGATATATTTCACTGTTTGTGGAAAGCAGATTGTGATCTGCCCAAAAGCCCTGCAGAAGCCCATCAGGTAAATGACTACTAGCACATCCTGGAGGGAAGTGGGCAGAGGCAAGCGGGAGAAGTTCACAGGGCAGAAGGCACAATTCTCCTGCCCCTTTCTGTCCTCCTGCCTGTTCCAACTGCAACACGCACAGAAGACAGAGAGAACAACTTGAGGGAAAAGGCAAGAAAATATTGTCCACATCAGATCTGCAGAGTTTGACCTGAGCTTTCGCTAGTTGTGTTCTAAGTTGCCCAGCCACTGCTAGCTACTGGAGAGCTTCAGGACCTCAAATTTTATGTGATCGACCAGCCTGAGCATGAGCAGAGCAAGTGTGTACTTATCCACACCCACTTGTGCAAACAGGCCTGAAAAGTCCATCACCTTAAAAGCCCTTTCTGCAGTTAGTCTAGCTGAAGAATTTAGAAGCTGAAGTTTTTAATTTTCTAGTTTTATGTCATCTACCAAATTAATGTCCCTTTTTTAGCCTCTTTTAAGAATATAAGTAAGTATAACCTTAACCTCCACAAATATTACATCTCTGCAGTATCTGAGCTTCTGTGTACCTTTCTTGCACTGTTCAGCAAACAGTTCTATTATTATAGTATATCTAGTAGTTGTATACAAGTCGCTGACTCTATATAGTTCAAGGTAAGTGGCTAGTTACATTCTGCATTGAGATCCAGGAATCAGCTTACATCTACCAGGTCTAAGGTGTCTACCAGAGCTCTTCAGAGCAATGGAAAATAAGCAGCTGATTTCGTTTTAAGTGATGCAGATTATGGATGCAACCCACTAAGACAATACATTCTCTTCCTCTTTCATCAGGTACTTTATTTTTGCCCTACGAGGAACCTTTGGAGCATCTCTGATTCTGAAAGCTCAGCAACTAGATAAACTTCCTAAAGAGCAACAAGATATTGAAATCCAGAAATGGAGGTCAAGAAAACAAACTACTTCTGATGAACCCATAGCATCACCAGCGTCTAATGATGACCTTGACCGAACCATCAACCACTTATGTGTTTCACCATTTCTGCATCCAGCATCAGCAGCTGTGTCTCATGGGGACCCAGATAGCCAGGGACCTTCCACCTCTGAAATGAATCCTCTCAGGAAATGGACACCTGAAGAAGGTAATTATTTCTTTAATAGGTGGGCACAGGAAGAATCTACTGCTACAGACTCCTCAGCAGGACCTTTCTCTGGCCATTACCCCCTTGTTCCCAATAGGGTAGCATCTCCTGGGCAGGATGCTAGCAAACTAACTAGAGATAATGCTAAAAAATTTAACCACGGAAGCCATCGACGATCTGTGAGTGCAGTGACACTTTGAAGAAATACGCAGAAATGGGATTCCTTTACTGGACGCAGTATCTCTGCTGTGCAAGCCACGTGGAGAAACATACCTTAAGGAAAACAGAATGTCTATTTATACTTAACCATGGTGCTCTTTACAAAAGGAGAGAGAGAAATTTGGAGATACGAACCTGCTGGAGTATTGCAATATGATCTCCAATATATAACTTCTCCCAAGCACACACATTGTCTGGGTTTGTTATTAGATGTCTTCTTGTTTCAGTAGTGTAATGTCATACGAGCATCACACAATTGCTTAGAAATGTACAGTTTTGCACAAAATTACTTTCTTTCATCAAGGAACATTTTTCTATCACAGTAATGGTGAATAATTGCATTAGTGGTGTTGCAATGCTATTGTATAAGCAGTATAGAAGTAATAGTAAGGGAACCCATTCTACGTTAAACTAAGTCTTGGAGCAACATATCCTATTCTAACTTTTAATATCAAAGTCTTAAAAGGACCTAACCAACTTAAAAATTACAGTTCCACCAAAAAAGTTGTTGCCTCCTAATGCTAAAAGTAGCTCCAGAATAACAGTAGCTGAAAGAGACTAGAAATTTTCCCTTTTTAATATATAGACTTTGTACATATAACTGTATCAAGTATAGAGTCTGTTTTCCCTCCACAGTAAGCTCTATGTATTTATGCAGGTTTGACCTGATACTGTTAAGAAAAGTAGAAAACAGTTTACGAAATAGAAGAATGGAAATACCAAACTACAAAAACTGGCAGGATAACGCAAGGATAAGTGAAGTCTGCTTCTTCATACCTACAAACATAGACAGATATAACTAGTCCAATTCCAATTCAAGTATCAATATTCTAGAATTCTGAATTCTCCCTGCTTCTCATTTGGAAATACAGTCTCTTCCTTCCCTTTCCTATATTATTGTATCATTTTGCTGCATTCAATCCAGTTGCCAATCAAGTATAGATCATGCTCTTTCCCATAGTTTTCCCACAGTTTCATTCAGTAGTTTTTGGAGATCTCAACTGGAAATACAGTCTCTTCCTTCCCTTTCCTATATTATTGTATCGTTTTGCTGCATTCAATCAAGTATTTAAGTTGTTAATCAAATATAGATCATGCTCTTTCCCACATTTTTCCCACAGTTTCATTCAGTAGTTTTTGGAGATCTCAATGATGGAGATTTTCACAAGCAATACATGAAGGTAACTAATCACATTGCAGTAACTACATGGTGTAGAATGAGCAAAACATGCTCTAAATCATGTATATTACTTCTATTCATCCTTTTCATTATCAGAGGGCAGCAAGATGTAGGAAAAACATAGAATGTCACCATCATCACTACCTATTGCAATGCAATGAAAGGTGATTTTTATATTTCTTATAGAAATGTTGACTAGTAAGACCTTTTTCCACATTTTTCTTCACTATGTGGGGTGGAGTCCTAACCATGCTTTAAACTCAAGCCATCTGGACTTTTGTGGATCTATCACTGCCTCTGATTTAAATATATTTTTAGCCTTTTATGTATGTACTATAATTATTATTTTAGGTAATTATTTGCCACTTATCACAATGTATGAAATCCCTTTAGTACTCTGTTTATCAAATACTAATTTACCTTCTATGTGTTACAATACTTACTGTGACTGGAATCTTAAAGATGTTACCTTAAAGCAACTCAAGCAAGACCAAGTAGCATATCTTCCGTTTGGATTTCTGGTAGCCAGAGTGAGAGCACATATATAACTGTAATTGATAAAGTGTTAATTCTTAGCTGTAAGGCAATTTAAAAAGAGATTTTTTTGCATGATGTACAAATGAAGGTAATTAGACAAAGCTGAGATTATTCTTAACTGGCTGTAAGATTTCTCAAACGTTTGTTCGCTAGCGAGGAGTGAACATTGGATGCCAATACTTAAGATCAAGTCTTTATGTCTCGTAGCCATGTTTTCACATGAAATAGTCAATTTCCTTTGAACTTAAAGAAGATGTCAATTTCTTATTATATATTTTATGAGAAAATAAGAAATGTTTTCATAGTAATAAAATGTAATGCGGTCATGACTTGGTGTGTTGCTGAGGGTGAGATTTACCACAAAAACAGAGGCAGAGATGAGTCATTTTCCTGTTGTCACTCATGGAGTGGCAAACCCACATTTTCAGAGTTCATTTCTGTATCTATCAGGCCACACTATATGAGTGTTTATCATAAAAATTAGATGACAAATATGTCTATGCAAAGGGATTGAGCAAATACTAGAAGGCACTGTGGAGTGGAAGATTATATTTAAGCAAATAGAGGTTCCTAAATTCCGAGCCAAGAATTCATTTCATATTTTCTCACAACAACTTCTGCAAGACTGTTCTACCATGGATTTTGCCCTGCCAGCTGGGCTTCTGGTCTGAAATAGTGTATAGCTGAGGGGGTTCCTCTTAGGAAAGGGGAAGGAAGAAAGGAAGGCTTACTTGGGAGCCACAGCAAAACAGCCCATAGAAGCTCCAGAGTCATGGGCTCCATGCTACGTCAGGTGATAAACAGAGTGGAAGACAGTGCTTCTCGTAAGTAGCTTCTAGACTGTAACCAAAAATAGTTACTTCAGTCAAAACAATGAATGAAGCAAAATTCACACGGCTGCCTTAAATAGTTATACAGCTTGATCTCCAACAGGATCTGTTAATCCTGTTGTGTAGTAGATGGTAACAAAAAGATCTAATAGATACCTTCACCTGGGGAATCTGCAACATAGCCTTCAGTCCCAGACAAGCCAAAAGAGGAAAGCATCCCTCATCCCTGAGGAAGGAAGAAAACTGAACCAACAGGCAAGCCCTGGCCTTGGCATCCCAGCTGGTGCCCCTGGGGGGTATAAAGTTTTCTCCTGATACACCTTCTCCTAGGTGAGAATGCTACCAGCCCTCTTCTGAAGTGGATGCTGCCCTAATTCAAGGGCACATATTCATTGCTAAACAGCGGGATCTTTTCTCATGCTCTTGAGTAAATAGTCTTCATTAACTATCTTGAGTTAAAAAGACATTAGAACAGGCACTTCACTTTGACCATGAGATAAATTAGCTGAGGCTATTGATTTCTCTGGGGAGTAGAATCTAGAGATTAAAAAACACAGTTTTTTTTGCAGTGAATGCAAGCAAGCGGGCAGTGAGAAATCAAGCTCTCCAATGTATTTATTTGTAGGGGAGAAGGGATATTTACTAAATGGGTTATTTAATTCTAACTAGATTTTCTAGATGACTTATTTTTGTTTCAAGACATGTTTAAGTAATGCTCATGTCAGCATACATATTCCATTAGTTCTAACATGAATGCTTCAGAATAGGTGTGTCTCTTTTTAATGTACAGTGATATTCACCATTTCATATACTTGGAGTATAAAACACTAAAATTAATGAATTGCTGTGAAATTACTGCATACTTTTGGCCTTTTGGAATTATCATAATAGAAATACTGCACAAGCCAACAGTGCTTTGAGATGTACAGAGCTGTACCTATGTGACAACCTGAAGGTGAGATCTCTTAGACATATGAACAGGAGATGGCTTACCAGCTCGATCTATTGAGTACCAGTTGCAGTCCCAGGCTGTTTGCAGTAGTCAATGAAGAGCCATCCATCACGCTCTCAAAAGAGGAAAGATTTTTTCTTTTTTAAATACAAGGAGCAGGAGATGCACAGAGATCTCAAACTCTTTGTTTATGTCTGTCTTAGCACAGCAAGTTGGAGATGTGGCCTTGCATCTGCTTGATATCAGCTATAACTCTTCAGTCTGAAGTCCAGAATGAATCAGGTGGGATAAGGGGAAGGGGATCCACTTTTTCTCTTTTCTCATGTATCTCAGGAATATAAAAATGACTTTTAGATTAGGTAGAGATAGGTGAGCACTGTGCTGCAGCACAGAAGGCTCTTTGCCCAAGGACAGATTGCATGTATTTTGCCACTTTGTTGGCTCGTGCTGCGATGCTTAATTCATTTGTTTGATTACAACTTGACGTAGCATGCAAGTACTGAGCTATTTATTTCAGGGTAAGGTGACTGCAGGCAGGATGAGGCATGATTAGGTACTTGTGAGCAGCACTGATGGATAAAAACATAAATGTAGAGATAAGAGACTCTTGAAGATAATGACCACAGAGGGTGGGATTTAGAGAGCTGACCAAATAACACCGAAGATCTATAAAGTACTTTTGACGTTGCTGGTGATTGGAATTTACTGCAATTATCAGTGCATGAGACAACTGTGAATAGGACTCGCTGCCTGGCTCTTACAAAGTAGCACCTGATTATTCCCAGCTACATCAACAAATCTGAGACTGAATACAGAACCTGAATCATTATTTTTCCAAAAATATTAGAGGGGCAATTGTCTGTTGTCTCCAGGCAGTGAAGGCAAAAGTTATTTATCTGTCTTTCCCAGTGCAGCTACTGAAGTGTACTCCCACCTTCAGGCACGCTTTGCAGTTTCCTTGCCATGTTAGTGTCCAAAGAACCTGTGTGATTATTATGTTTTTACACCACACAGGTTAGCAGAGCTCTATAAACGATCGTTACTGTAACTAAAAGGTCAAGGTGAAACTTCCGCTCCACTAAAATTGAAGTTTGTCCTTGATATCACAGAGACCAAGCCGTTAGCTCCTTTTCTGTTGCTGCCATTGGTTCAACCTCACAAAGCTGAGTCGTAATCTCTATTGGATTCAGGAGCAGCAGTTTAACATGCCATTGCTCCCGGCCCTAGGTATTTTTTCTCTGCCGCTGTTTATTGCCCCCATGGTGAGGCCTGGAACAGGAGCCACAGATAATCCAGCTGCTTCAGATAAATCTGGCAGGAAACTGGAACGAGAGCTCTTGGCTGTACATTTGGCTGGTCAGATCTTGTTCTCAATTTTGTCTGCAGTTCTCAGAGTTTGAAGGTGACCGGAAAGTAAAAGTGGGCTCTTAAACTTTGATACATCAGCTTAATGACTAATATGCTTGTAGTTCCATGGGATTTTGCAGGGGACCAGCAAATGTATCTCAGTCTTCATGGGGCACAAATCTTTGCGCTGGACTATGGGCATCCAAAGAAACTCAAATGGAAAGCACGTATTATACCAGAACATAAAGAAATATTTAAAATAAGAAGACAATACATTGGAAGACAAGTAGAAACACAGCTGGTGCCTTCCTTTTGTATGCTAGTTGTTGTTCTTACATCATTCTGTTTAACCTCAAACAAATCAGAAGCTCCTGTGCCTATGTCAGTAGAGCTCTGTTAAAATCAACTAGATTCAGCTGAAACCTTTTTAGAGCCCATCTTGTTTTGTTGATACTTTGAGGAATTTTGCCAGGAGGAACAAACATCTCTATGTGCTCCTTCTGAATGGTTCCTCTTTCACAATGATTAGGCAACTTATGGCAGTAAAGTCACGATCTAAATTAGCATTAGAAGAGGACAGCAGATTCCACATTCTGTTCTTGTGTACATGGGAGAGAGCAGGAGGAGATGGACTAATAAGTATCAGGAACATGATTGTACCATAATAACAGTGGAGGAGCACCAACACGCCCAGGGCCTTCTAGAGATTTCCAAACAAAATCCTTAATCTACTCTCAGGCCTTGTTCAGAGGTTGCTCAGGTCTTGAAGTGTCCACCTATTCTGTTTTCTCACTAAAATGATCATTAACAAAGAATGCATCCATTTATGTTCTTGGTTAAGCGTGGAGGACTGCAAAGAATGGACCCATACTAGTAGTAGACTAAAATTATTTTGCTTTTAATCTAATTTTGGTGGGAGGCAATGTTGGAAAAGTTCAAATATGACCTCTCAAAGATTTTGAACAAACATAAATGATGACTATCCTGTGCTCCTTTTCATAACCTACAGTTTTACAGTAAGCAGTGAATATAGCCCAGAGACATCAAAGAGCCAGAACTGTACCTGAAGCTTTAAGCTGAAAAAGTTTAAATTCAGAACCCAAAGAAATCTTACTCTCCAGCCTTTACTTGCAACGTTTCAATAAAGGAGTTCAAGCACAAACCGAATAATGTTTAAAATCCTCTTACTAGTTTGCAAGATAACTTTTTTAAAAGAATTATTCTAGCACCACACGTACATTTGCCTTGCCTTCATTTAAAATTTAAACTGATTTGCAGTTTATTGAAACTAGTCCACTTTAATGGTCGCTTCTGATATTTCACAGTTGCACAGAAATGTAGCAGTGGAAAGCATTTCAAGATAGAATCTGATCTATCTCTTTGCACAAGAGGTTATAGACAATCCATATCAGCCATTTTTCTACTCAACTATTAAAAAAAAAACTTACAAGAAATGGGATAAAAGCTACAATGGGGTTGTTTGAAGAGCACCTGCTCACTGGACCTTTGAAGGTTCATCCACCATTAGTTATCAAAATAGACCTGCTTTTTACTTCTGCTGTATAGGAATGCTACAGAGTAATGATAGCGATCAGGAGCAACCTCATATGCTATGATAAATGACAAGACTTCCAAGGTATTCAAAGCATTATCAGAATCCATTTCATACCTCATCTATTATCATAAGCATAAAATGTGCAAATGTTCCCCACTGTTGTAAATGTCAGCATGCTGGGGACAAATGCTTTGATTTTCTATCAGCAAATAGTGTTAAATTATTTAGTGTTTAAACATGTGCAGTGAAAGTGATGAACTTTAAAGAATTAATTTATTTCAAATGACTCCATCTACAGTTCTCGTGGAAATGGGCAACATCAATTGTAAGATCCCAAAGACAGCTTTCCCAGCCTAGAGGCTTCATGACGGTTCAAGGATAGAGCACTAAGATACAAAACCATTTAGACATCAAAATTATATTGGTTGAGGGAATCAGCTGTTTCAGCACTGAATTTGAAAGATAATGTTGAAAATGAGAACCCTCGTATAAACTAATTCTGATATCTTTAAGGACACTGAAGTGATTTGTATTTATAAAAGAAACCACATTGCCCAGTGTGATACAGCCTCAAAACCATAATTGCTAAATAAAGCTGTTACATTTACCAGGCCATATTGTAAGTGGTTGTAA